GTGTGTTTGCTGAGTTGATTCAAAGTAGACAATCTCCCTCGCCATTTTGAATAGCCCCTACTTTCTGGGCAGTCTAATTTAGCCTAGAGTATAAAATCATTACAAAACAAGCACCAGAACTGCAACACTTTTTTTGACTCGTGGTTCACCAACCAGAAGAGATGAAGTAGATCATATATTTTCCACCACAATCCTCATATCTTATTTCATACATCACGGAGCATTCATTTTTCAGGAGAACCTAAAACTTGTTGAATTGATTACTTATATGTTCTCTTTAAAACACAGTCCAATCCGTTAATGATGAACTTTTCGTAACCATCATCTTAAATGTACGGGGTATTTCACAACTACGGTACGAAACTTAGCCTGTGTTTTCTTTATATCTAGCTTCAATAGAAGCACAACTAATTTATCAGGGCAGATATCTTAACAGAGTAGTTCCATGTGCTGAAAAACATTTGGAACGCTACATGCAAGAGTATGTGAAACTGGGAGTTTTAATAAAAAAGCAAGACCAGAAACTGTAATAACGCCTGAACAAGAAGAAGCTATACTTGATGCGATAGAAGAAACTCCTTCAAACAGTACTAAAAAAGTTGCACTGCAGCTGGAAGTCAGTCAAAAAACCGTATGGACAGTTCTAAAAAGAATCCTCCTATACCTATATCACATACAGCGGTTCCAAGGTCTTCTGCCTCGGGATTTTCACCCCAGATAATTGTTTTGCAATCGCTGGAGTGGACGTGCAGGACATCAAAACAGACCAGCCCGCAGTTCTGATATGAATCCTCTTTCCATTCATGGGGTCATCTGAAGGCTCTTGTTCATAAAACTCCTGTACTAGATGTGAACGAGTTGAGGAATCAAATAATTGACAATTGCAATGTCATAAGAAATACTCCAGGTATTATTGGACGTGTCAGGCAATCAAATCGATTGCAGTCGTGTATTTTTTCAGATGGTGGATATTTTTCTCATTTATTTTAAGGTGGAAATTGTTCATCATTTACTTTTGGTTTTTATTTTATGTTGTCCATGGATAGTTTTTAGAAGTGATTTTTTTCTCGAAGACGAAGCTTGATATAAAGAATACACAAGCGACGAAAAAGTTGTATTTTGAGTTGCTGAATCTAAAAAATGAAAAACTACGAAAAAGTCAATATTGTTGGCTGCGGTACCCACTGAGATGCCTCTGAACCTAAAACTTTCAATCTTGTTCGGGCTATATAAGCGCCTTATTACTTCAAATAACTTGCAAATTTCAATTAAAACGGTGTGAGAATATTCATGATAATAAATCAACCTCTGAAGCGAACTTTTTTACAACTCTTGCCCAATCAGAGAGTTCAACCTAAATATCAGTTATGTTTACGAATATTTTCTCTAGAAAAGTAGCAAATTGTAACACATTTTGGAAAGTGGCACAAATTTCTCGGTAGGCACGCGAGTTTTAATGGCCTAGCTTTATCGAAAAGCGTGAGTATACTCTGGAGTACAAGCTCATTATTATTTCAAACATTTGTGAACTACTGAAAACGGAGCTAGTTCGGACTATGGCGATGATATAATAGGCGAGCCGGGAACGATAAATGTTGAATAGGGAACAGTCTCGTATTTTGTTTTATTCCTCTCAAACTGTGAAATGAATTTCTCTAAACTCAAATATTCATATCTGAAAGCCCATACTTGATTATATATACGTAAGAATAGTTGAACATGTTTCAAGCGTTTCATGATTGCGACATTGATAGTTGACATATAATATTGAGAAGAAGAAGCAGAACTATTGTTCTTGCGATTAGCTTTTGACATTGGCACAACTTTATACACATGGTGATAGATGGCGCAATAACCGTAGCTTGAGGTTTATTCAACACTTCAGTAAATGAACAGTTCAAATTGATTGGATTTCTGTATTTTTTGTTGTTTCTGTTGTCAAAAAATGGCAGTAAATAACAACTTCAATCCGGACATGACTCATCACATCCTCGACAAAATACTATTCAAACAAGCCGTTAAACAAGTATACCATCACATTGAAGATGAAACAGAAACTTTAAAAATCCTGACATATACAGGAAAGGCATCAGACAATATAAGTGAACTACTAACTAAACAGAAACTCGACAAGGACAACAAATCGAGTGTCTACAAGCTGAAATATGGCTCGTGCCCAAAAGTTTATATTGGAAAAACATCTAGTCATTTCACAACCATAATCTCGGAACACAAAAGAAGTTTTGGATCGAAGAAAACCACTTAAACCTAAGCAAACCATTTGTCGGAAAACAATCACGACTTCAACATGAACCACGATGTATTGCATATAGAAAATAGAGGACACAAAACAAATCTGCTGGAATCCCTGCAGAATAATAAACGTAAACAACCAAATTTTCTATTGAACGATCAAAAAACGTTGATCACCACTCATGAATTTATTTTCATGAAAATGGAACCATGAATTAGTGGAATCATCAGTATTTAAAAATAGTTTTGAATTTTTTAATAAACTACACCTCACGATTTGAACTCCACAAAGTTTGTGGAGACCTCCACAAAGTTTGTGGGGATCAAGTAACGATCAAGATCAAATCAATCAGAAAAAAAAATCGAAGTACTCTTCTTGACATGTCAACTACACCTGAAGCTCCCATTTCTGTCGTGTCATTAACAATGTTGATTTTTCGCGCACTTTCTGTAATGGCGGGTTCGCGCGTACCTACTTCCCGCGCGATTTGGTTGACTTGGCTTCGTTTTGGCGCTTTTCAAAGCTGTGTGCCAGATCTTTGGTAGATATCTTCTCTCTTCTTTTCTGTTGAAGTTCTCTTGGTGTTTGTATATTTCTATGGCTTCTAAATACATTCTTATTGAATAATGATTCGAAGTTGCTAGTCTTTCGGTATTTCCCCTCTTGAAAGTCAGCGTAGCTTCCTTCTAGCTCTAATTGGCCGAGGAATTTTTCGTTACAATAATAAAAGGGCCTGAAATGGAGAGGGAGCAGCGAAAATAATTCAGCCGTAGGTCACTAGGGAAGTTCGAAGGGGATTAAGAATTTCTTTACAGAAAATACAAATCATAAGATCATTCGGAATGATATTTATTCATCTGACTCGGATTTTCTGAGTTTATTTTCAGTTATTTTTTCTTTCATGACATTTTGTCAGATGGTCCACAAACTTCATTCGTTGTAAAGGACTTTCAAAGAATATATCTATTCGGTTTTTTGGATTCAATGGCCCTTCTATCGAAAATATTGAAAACTTCCGGTGTTGAAAAACAAGGGTTTCTGAATGAATTCATGTTTCAGGTTAGAATAAGCAGTGAAATGAAATAAATAATGACTTTTTCCGCTGCAAATTCCCAGTTAGAGTTACTCCAGGATCAATTCTGGTCTTCATAGCACAATTATACAGTCACTCTGCACATTTCAGAATCTCTCTCTATTCGAAATACTTTCGACGAACATTTCGCTAACTGAGTTAGCATCATCAGGGGATGACTAAAACTTCAATAATGAATGTCATCATATGATGGTGTGTCATTGAATGAGTACTCAATATTAGTTATTGTGTTATATTGCTATTGTGTTTTTATTTCCTATTCATATGTCAATAACTACCTGTTATGGTTCACCCAGTTTCTACCTGTAACTATTACTTGAGAGACTAAACTACGCGCTGCTTGGAATGGAACCTTTGCTGCTATTCACAGATTTCATGGAACTAAGTATGTGAAACATGTTTCTTGTGTCGAGTTATTATAGTCTGCTTAGTTTGACCAGCATACTTTTCATCGCTATCCTCGTAGCTTATTTGGTAAATTCCAGACTTATTGACGAAGATGGTAAAGTCTGGACTGGCATATTGGAATTGTTGTTGATCAAACGAAAATGAAAAATATGTTTGCAACCCCTCCTTTTCGTGCCTCTGATCCAATAAAAAAACTTTCAGCTATCATTGACCAATGAATACTTTCCATATTCCAAAAACTTTGAAGTAGGTCATTATTTGAAAATTTACTAATGAACTTTACAAAACCACTTATGGTTTTTTTGAGAATGGTTTTTTAGAATCAGAATGAGTTGTATCTATGAATGATTTGGATCATAATTCCCCAATTCTAATGGAAACTGACCATAGTGAATCTGCTGATGAGTTGATAAATGGCTCAGCGATAATGGAAAGTACTCTTGGTTCTGGCATTGACAAATCATTCTGTACTAATAATTTCACACAGAGGTTATCGAGTTAAGCTGTTACATATCAAATACCTCATAATGCCCTAACAGATTTGTTGAAGCTATCGAAAACCATTTCATCTCTACAAGATTCATTACCTTCAGATGCCAGAACATTATTGAATTCACCCAGAAATCTTGTATTCAAAGATATTTCTCCTGGAAAACATTTTCCTTCTGGGTTTGAAGAAAGCTGTTTCTTCTTTGATAAATAAACGGTCTTGAACGGTCAAGAAGCACGGTAAAATTAAAACACGAAATGCAATGAGACTAGCGCTATCTATATGTTGAGCTCGAGAATTTTCAGCCCAGATAGTGCTTCATTTCCAGTCAAGGTGCACTAAAATTAGAATAACCTGTACTCTATCAACTGAGAAGGCCATCTTTGGGGAGTACTTAAGAGAACCCTCAAGTTTTCTGCACCTTCTGAAAATATATGACGATTTTTCAGAGGCAACTCAACTTGAAGAGGCACTTTCTTCACCTTTGCATAGGCACATCTAAAATTCCTTCAAAAATACTGTATTTATTATGAAATATATCTCTGAGAAGTACTTCAGACAACTTGGTTAGTATTTGAACGTTCTGGTGGTATATCAGAAGTATGAATTATATTTCAGAGACAAGAGCAATGGAAAATATTCCTACAAGGTTCGACAAACATTTTTGTACTGCAAGGAAAACGTTTTTTCTTTCGTCCTCTGCATAAACCGACAACCGAACCATCTAGTTCCCATCCAAAAACAATCAAACTCACCGTTGGCATAAGCTGGTCGGTACTCCTCACCCTGGTAACTTTGTTCTTATAAATTAGTCTCTTGACGAGCCTCTCCATGGGTTGGTTCCACTTCATAAAACTGACGTACCCGACATAGAATCCGAACAGTACCAGCGCTTCGTACCATTGAATGAGGTTGTCACTGAAGAAAATAATAAGCGTCACCAGGCTCGCCGAGTAGAAGAAGCAGTCCCTGAAGAGCGGCCACCAGGTCAGCGTGAGCACCGTCTTGGAGAATATCGCACACATGCCGATCACGAAGAGGATATTGAACACGGCCGATCCGACTATGGTACCGATGCCCACATCGTCGAAGGACACGAACACGCCGATCACGCTGGTGAAGAGCTCTGGGGCCGATCCACCGGCCGCCATGAAAGTGGCGCCGGCGACGTCGTCCTGGATATCGAACTTTTCGATGATGACGTCCAGCGCGGGCACGAAAAATTCGTCGCAGACTATGGCGAGGGCGACAAACATGTACACCACGCCGAGGATGTGGAGTATGATGGCTCCGTTGCGCCGCTGCTCCTCGGTGAAGAGGTCTTCGGGGAAGAGCGGGGCCTTCTCCTTGTGGGTGCCGTTGTGGGAGGCGTTGCGGCACCAGGAGGTGGCGTTCTGGTGGTCGTCATCTTCAGCAGCGGCAGCGGAGACGAGCAGCGCCAGGAGCATGCAGAGGACCCCGACGCGGTGTGTCATTGTGGAGGCAGAGGATCGGTCATGGCCTCAGCAAGGCCGGGCACGGACTACGCTCGCTCGATATGGAGAGGAGGCCGCGCAGACTGCGCTAGTGCACCACCCGGCGCGTGGCGTCGTCTTCGGGCAGTCCGCGCACTGCCTTCGCCATCCGACAGAGGGAAATCGGTGTTTTCGCCGGAAAATGTGTTTACGGTTTCGATGATTCGGCGATGGGTTCGAGAAAGGGGTGAACGCGTCGACTTCTTAACCTAATTAAGGATGGAAGTTTTTGTTTTTTGAGTCTACAATGTAGGATAATGATAATAATTCAATATTCATAACTATAAACACATTGAACGAGAGGAATCAGAGTTTTAGTGTTTACTGGAACTATTCACTTTCCAAAAAATGGAAAAAATCAAAATTCGTAATAAAGGACTTTTCACTGTGTACCCTGATAACTAAATACGTAAAATCAATATATTTTTCTCAAAGAAAAATGTTATAACTATTCAATCTATCAATCTATCTATCTATTCAATCTATTCTATCTATTCAATAAGTCAATAAACTAATGACAATGAAATAATGTGGCCAGTTTTCTGAACCTTTTGATAAAGAGTTATTAAAATTTGCCACTATTGAAAACCCCCTGCTTTAGGATTTTGGGTTAAATTCATAAAATTCGTCAACTTCATTATTACTTTTGTAAAAACATATTTTATATACCATTTTCCGACTTCGATATCTGACAATTTGGAACTTTTCCGTACGCGGAATATTCGACAGAACCATTATCAATTTTGAGGTTAAAACTGATTATTACGATATAAAATTAAGTCACTGTGAAATATGAATAAGCGCCTACAATTTATTAGTTGTGAAGATAACTATTTGTGTAACATAATAGAACTGAAACCACTGAAACTTCCAAACGTGAAAACAGAACGTGTAAAGAATTTGTAAACAATGAATATGTCGAACAGTCTGAAAATCAAAGAAATTGATGACCGCTCACCACAAGCTATCATTCAAAATAGAGAGTTCTCTCTTATAAAACGAAAATGTTAACTGTTTTATCTTTATTTTCCACTCTTAGAAGAAAAGGATGCTATATAAAAGTTTGGTTCTTATTCCGTATTTTGTTGATGACGCATGTGCATTCTTCTATCGCACCAAATGTATTTTGTAATTGTAATTGTGAGATGTCGAGAGGTCTAAATCGTACAAGTCGTACCATTTTTAACTCAAGAGTGGCTGGACCGATTTTTATGCTTTTCGATTTGTTGGAACAGCAGAATAACTATTTGAAAATCTGAAAACTAGGAAAAAAGTGTTATATTCATAAATCGAAGTCATGAAATCATGTTATATACATAGTCATAACAGAAGCGAAGTTAGACTTATCAGCCACAGTGTCATTTACAGTGCCGCGAACAAGAAATTCTAATATTTCACTGTGAAGCCGTAATGCCATCAAAACTTTATAAATCGCTATCAATTTTCGTTGGACTGAACTGTTTTCAGAAAAACAATATTTGCCTTCGAGTATTCCAATACTGGGATCAATTCATGAAGATCACGCATTGGGTGACATCTAGGTATTGTAATTCGAACGTCATGCATGAGAAAAACATTTTGGATATCGCCGTAAGCAATCGCAGTTACAAACATTCAAACATTTGTAATGAATTACATCTATTTCAATATTCTTCCACAGAAATGAAAAAACAAGTATTTTTAATGATGAGTGAATCCAACAGATACCTATTATAAATTAATCAATCCTCGATAGGCATGCACTGCCATCTTGAAACAATGAATCCTTGGCCTTTATGACTTTTGATATGAAAATAAAGAAGAAGATGAAAAGTGAAGTTTGACCTAGCCTCAAATTTTGATTTTTTTTGTAATTTGAACAATGATAATATCAATGATAGCTAAATAGGCCTTAAACTTTCTACTCAATCCTGAATCTCAAAATGCCTCTGAGGGGACCAGTAGTCTGTTTAAAGTGCGGGGCTACTGAATCGCCCCTTTGGACTAATGCTGAAAATTTGGGAGCAATTTGCTTAGATTGTGTGAATGAAACCAAGAATACTCTGAAGTCCGAACTAGAAGACGAAGAGGACGATACAAAACCCAACAAGCGGAAACAGAGAACTACACGTTCGTACAAAACCAGATTGAATCCATTCGCTGTTCCGAAAAGTTCAGTTCCGAAAGGCAAAGGGAGGAGAGGTTTGACGAAAAAGACTCCGGCCAAGGCGCCTGCTGCCGTGGCCACGACTGTCACTAGTGAATATGTTTTTTACAAGGTACAGTGAAGAAGTTATAGGCATGGAAGTTATTCGATTAACTTTCAGGACCACCCTGTGCCCATTTCTTGATGTTGCTTAGGTTTTCAGCCTTCCTAAATCTGTAAAAATGAATCTAGGTAAACATAATATCTGTTCACACATAAAAAAAGTAAACTGAAGATTTATCCAAAAAGTTACTGGGGAATATACACCTTTGAAGAGTCCAATTGACTAGAAACTTCCGAAATTTCGCCTAAATGGTGATTTAAATCAATAGAAAATTGTGATGTATGACTGATTTATGTTTAGTGAATTTGATGTTTAATTTCTACAACGTTTTTTTACTGATTTATCTTTTTTTAATTCACGTTAGAAAAGAGAGTTCAGATGTGATTGTTGGAAAATCGATAAAATCCTGATACCAGTGTTTATCAAAAGAAAACTCACACTGATAGCCATCTCCATAATAAATCTAATCAAAAAAAGTGCAGTGAGATATTTGTTGTAATTCATTACATGATTCAGAATAGTTGATTAGCATTAAATAAACTATTTCAAAAAGGAAAACGTATGTCTGAAACAGTTTATAGAAACCAACCAACAATTTATCTCATTCCGTAGGTGAAATTAATAAAAATGACAAGTAACTGACTGGTTAGAAGCTTTTTGGAGGTTTATATTGGGTATGCAGTAAATATTTTGGATGAATTAGACTCATTTATTTTTCAGAACGTGGAAGTTTGAAACAACAAAAACATTGAACAAAAAAAAATGTCTGTGAGCCCCTTCAAGAAGTATATGTTTGTGTTTCAGGGTAGTTACATGCAAGTGGGAGATATTGTATCAATGGTTGACGAAGAAGGTGACTCTTTTTATGCACAAATCAAGGCATTTATGACTGATCAGTATTGCAATAAAAGTGCTGTCATTACATGGCTACTTCCGACACAGGAAAGTCCTCCGCCTAATGAAGAATTTGACCCTGCCACATATATTATAGGTAGGAAACTGTTGACCATGTGTATGTAGAATATTACTTTTTTTGCGATCACTAGCCTCAAGCTCCTACAGTCACTGAAATTAACAAGATTCTCCTTGGAGAGAGACATATCGTAGTAGTTGAAGAGTTTGAAAAGTTCAATCCTTCGTTATACCCTTGCATTCTTTGAAATACTTGAGTACTGGGACCAAACATGAAAGAGATGCTAGCTTCTATTGTATTTAATATGGAAATATTTTCAAACGTAATTGGATGTCATAAAGTAAATACCCAGCTGCTAAGCCATTGATCAAGTTTTTTATATTTTTGAAATAATTCCTAAACTATTTTCTCTGAATCAATCATGGTTCAGTCCCAACAAATGATAAATTCAATAGACAACATTCGTTAATTTCATTGATTTCAACTGCTTGAGGTTGGTAGACACAGTCATTTTAGTATCCACTGTCATAAAATGAATTGAGGATCATGTTTCACACATTTGTAGATAGCTTCCTAGTATTGATCTGAATTTTTTATATAAAGTGAACTTTCTTGCTTTCGCCATCTAGTTGATCGTAGCCAAACTACAGAGATCAGGAAATAAATTGATGTGAGAATCCAGAGGTTACAATTTTCACATCACTCAAGACATTATAAAAAACCATAATTGGATAATGAAATTAAAAAAACTATGAATTTCATAAAGAAATATCCACCACTGGCACTGTTAGACAGTATTTCAAAAAAACGACAATTTCTATTCACCCTTAGATGGCGTTGGCAACCAATTTGAATTAAAGTGTCTACTTTGTGATAGTTTTGCTTCCCGAAACTAGATGGATGTTCTGTTCCTACTAATACAATTCTTGAACTTTCAAAATCTGTTGATTTCAGGTCCAGAAGAGGATCTTTCTCGGAATTTGGACTGCATGGAATTCGTAATGCATGCTCCATCAGATTACTACAAGTCGAAAACAACCCCTTACCCACCTGCAAATCCACCAGGTGAACCAGGATATATTTGGACCTCTTTAAAATCAGTGCAAAAAAGTTCTGTTGAAGCATAAAGGAACGTTTTTAAAAGAAACTATCTAAAATACCATCCATTTTGATTGGTGTTAATTATTAAATGCTTATTATTATTAATTATCATTATTTATTACCAAAACTTATACTATAATTAACTAGAAACAATGTAAAATGTTTAAAATTACTTTTTATGTATAACATGAATTAAAAGCTGGTGTTGAATCACTATTCCTTTCAATGAACCTTTATTTCACACTTGGTGTCAGTCGCACTGAGTTTGTTAACACATACAAGCGATAGTTTTATACTAAAGCTTCGTGATTTTTTCCTGTTTATTCACTTAAAACACATTTACTTCAATTATTGTAAAATTTTGAGCTTTCATGAATAAATATTATTATTATTATTTTTTTCACCTAGTGTGCGCTGGTCAGGCCCTATCCCCCGAAGCCCCAATACATTCGGGAGGGCGCGCCAGCATTATCATCCAATGACCACTCCCCACACCGTGGGGTAAGTGATCATTGTGTCCGAGAATCGTGTGCCCTGTGCAAGCGCAGTGAGCCAAGAATGACAGCCTTCTGCATCTGTGCGGTTAAGATTTCTGCCTTAGTGCGGCAAGCCGGTATGATTTTAAGATTCGAAAGTAGAGAGGACATCATTCCACCAAGGACTCCAATAATCTGAACAATCATCTTGACAGAGTGATCTGGATAGAGTCTGCGAAGTTCGAAGAGAAAATCTCGATATTTTATCCGTTTTTCCTCCTCTTTTCTGACGATATTCGTCTCGCCAGAAGCTGAAAACTCCACGACAAATATCGTTTTGCTCTGGTGGTCGAGAAGGACCACATCAGGCTTATTAGCTTGTATGAGCCTGAGGGTGGAGAACGAATAGTTCCAATAAATTCGGCACTTCTCGTTCCCCACAACGGATTCAATATCCCCCGGAGCGTAGGGCAACACCGGTGTCTCGTCAATACCGTAAGGGTGCCGTAGATGGTAATATAGCACTCTTAGGGCCGCGTTATGTCGATGGATAAAGGCCGAGCCCGCATATGCTGGACATGCTGATAGCAAGTGCATTAGGGTCTCGGGCGCCTCGCGGCAGACCCTACACCTTGCGTCAGTAACCTCATTACTCATCACGCGACTGCGGTAGACTAAGGTGTTGAAGCCACCATCCTGGCATCCTGATGAACACCTCAGTTTCCGACTTCAGCCCACTCGACCTGAGAAAAGCGAACGTCAGGCGCTTTGATAAGCCAAGGTCTCCAATGTTATTGAAGAAGACCCCATGCATTGGCTCATCCTAGTGTTTCCGCAGAAGTAAGATGATCTCTGTGGCTTTTATCTGAGCTTTTTGCTGAACAGGTTCCAACTCGGTGACAGAGTTGTGGTCACCTCGTTCAGTGTCGAAATCTATACCGAGTTCATCAGCTGCTCGGGCAGCTGCCCTAAAGGGAAATGCTCCAATTCCTGCTCTCTCATGGTCACGGACCATGCAGAGGAAGGGATCCGAACTCCTGACGACTTTACAGGCTGTATCCAGCACCATTCTGTCATGCAGACACTCCAAACTCAGAAGTCCACGGCCTCCCTGTTGTCGGAGGAAGTACAACCGTGGGACGGACGATTTGGAATGCAAACTCCTATAGAGATGCATCATTTTTCGGGTCTTTATGTCGAGTTGATACAGCTCCTCCCGAGTCCACTTCACTACTCCAAACGAGTAGAGTAAGATTGGAACGGCAAGCATATTTGTTGCAGCAACTTTGTTCTTCCCCAACAGTTCCGATGGCCAGATCTGTCGAAGTTTGTGCTGATACTTGCCGCGGAGAGAGTTTTTCGCTGCTGTTACATCTTGAGAGTGGCGTTGTTCCACCCCGAGGTAAGTATACGTCTCTCCGGCATCCAGATGGTGTAAGATGCATCCATCTACGAGCTGCACATCCTCTTCGTTGTCCCCGCATCGTCCTCTTTTGAGATGGATCATTGCACATTTGTCTATCCCGAATTTCATACCGATAGCATGCGTGTACTCTTCCACTACCCTCAAGGACTGATGGAGATCCTTCTCTCCAGAGGCATAAAGTTTAAGATCATCCATATAAAACAAGTGGGTGACCTTGTGCCTCCGGTTTTCGGGGATGCCACAGTTATACCCTCGGGTGTTTCTGAGTGCAACGGATAATGGCAATAGTGAGATGCAGAGGAGAAGGGGACTGAGGGAATCAAGCTGAAATACACCCCTTCTGAAAGTGACCCACCCTATTTGGACTCTTGCTTGACCAGCTGTTATGGTAAAGCGAGTTCGCCAAAGTGGTATCAGTTATTACTATTATTATTATTATTATCCCTCAATCACTGCAGTCACTCTCAACTTGAGATGTAATGTTGACCATAGCTGCTAAATCTCCTCCACTAGCTGCTTTCGACCGCTTTCTGACGAGTTCCGCAATAGCCTTTTGAGTTCTGCCTCCCAGTTTCTCCAACTTTTTGGCTACATCCCCCTTCAGATCCCAATCTGGTTTTCTCGATGCTAATGAGGTAACGTCAAGCTGATCAGTAACAATATCAGATTTGGCGAATTCTAGTTGATTTTTGAACACTCTCAAGTTCTTATTCCATTGAGTCAATGCCACACTATCAACATTTATACGGGTTCAGTCTTCTAGTGCCGATATTTGTGAGCTCGAGGGCTGATATTGCCACTTCCTCAGAAATGGTGAAACACCTCTGGCAGTCTAAGTAACGGGATTACTCCAAAAGCAACTAAATAAGTCTGAAGATTGTTGAGATTTCTTAGCTAATTTTCGAACTCTATCTATTTCTTCGGTATTTGTTGAGATAATTGTCATCTGTAATATATTTAACTGTTGAAGCTTCGCCAAAAGATGTCTTTATTTACTTTTTGATGAAGACTGACAGATTTAGTAGTCTGGATCTGAATCTTTGACATTCAGCAAAACTTTCTGCTCTGGTGTGATTATTATTGGTTCAGAAAAACTTAGTGATAATCTAGCTATTTTTACAATATGGTAGAAAAAGTTCAATGTCAAAATTACCAATAGAGAATAATCTAGATATAGCAAATAGTTGAAGTAATAAGGATAAGCATAATACAAGTCATTTAAAATAATTGCTAGGAATATAAAATTTAGAGTAGTCCACGTAAAACTATTTTTGATTACTCGTCGATTTTGATTTAGTATCAGACTTTTTTCCAAAACCGGAGAACATGTTGGTTTCAATATTCGTCGATTGGGCGTTTGACAATTCATGATGATTACAATTTTACGAATAGAAAATTATACCGACTAAGTAATTTACAAAAAAATTATAATGAATTTACTAAATCAAATTAAACTTCCCCAGCAAAGAAAATGCTCATCAGCTCATCCTACACCAGTGAATATTAAAGTGCAGTTTTCTTTCTAGTTTCGAGTAATTTTGAATCCTGATCAGTTGTTGCAGATCTATTATGCACAAGTAGAAAGTATACTATGACATGTTGTGCCTTTTGGAGAACATAAACTTCATCGTCTTGTATTTTTATAGCACAAAAATGTATTAGTCGTTCAATGTTGGCTTTGAGCTCTCGAGCCTCCTGCAGAAACGCATTCAAAGACCTGGAAATATAAACTTAACCCTCAATTTATATTTTAGAAAAAGATAAATTCCTCCAGATTGATTTCAAACCTGAGTATAACATTAGACACAAAAATAGCTTTATTGTACCTTCAACAAAATTCAGAATTACTCAAAATGCCCAAAAGTTCAGGGCTCCAAAAATATTCAATTCGATTCGAGAAAACATAAACAATAGCAGTTCAAGATTGATTTTCAAACGAAAACTGAACGATTTTCTGGTGCAAAATTGCTTTTACTCTTTAGATGTGACCATTACTTCTGAGGGAAAATATTATTTGTTTCTTTGTAAGTACTTATTATTTCCTCGTAATTATCTGTTATTTATAATTGTTTTTTTGTTTTAATGAGATGTTTGCCATTCGCTTGTTGACGGTATGCATTTTGTATTCAACCATATGTTTAACTTCTTCCATACAACCTGTACTGTCTCCAGGAAGTAATCTTATATTCTATTGAATGTATGCATATCATAAAGATGATATAAGAGATAACTACTTATAAGTTCCAAAAAAACAGTAAGAAATCTGAGTTCTCCAAAAAATGCTCTTCAAAGAATACTTATTTCACCATTTCAGAGTTTAGAACACACAGTATAACCACCATAAAAAGCCAATTAGAATGCAAAGGAATTTTAAAGAAGATTCTTGCATATTGGTACACGAGAGAAGTATTTGCGTCAGCATGTCTTAGATTTATTACTTTCAAACAAAAGACCCAAACTTGTCCTTCAGTGTCGAGACGAATTTTTTTCTATTGTGTCAAAACTGGCGAAGGCCCATATTTTGGGCGAATGCATATTTTCCTAAGCTGCTTTTTATTTTTGTCAAACACCAAAGCGGAAGTTATTATTAGCAGCACGCGTTTGTCGCAATGAAGAGAATTGTCCTTCACCAAATTTTGCATATCGCCATAATTGTTCTCACCAATTAATTGAATATGTGTGAAATGTATTTGATGTGTTGCAGGAAACATGGTTACGTTTTTAATTGTCTCGAATATTTTCATGTATTCCGTTGGTGGCAAATTATTCCATAGGCAATTAAAACTCGTAATGTCACTTAATTTTTATGCTAGGAATGGTGGTATTTCCTCTGTATGTATGACCTTAACCTAGTAAGAGCGCTCGTGGTGGAGTATTATTTTTTGTCGAATTATGTCAATGTCTAATAGTGAAAAGATTATCAAAAACTGTGTTTTTGATAACAACTGATATCTCTCACAAAAATATATACAGGCCGTTTTTTTAGCTGATATACCACTATTTCCATCTCGGAAACGGTAGGTCGTACAAGGACGGTTAAATGGAACAAAAGTTACCTTTTTAGGGATGCAACACAGTGGTATTTTCAGATCTAATAAATCATCAACGGCTTGTGAGATATTCGCAAAAAAACTGAAAATGACAGATTTTATTTTTTTGCTCTACCGCAAAATATCAAAAAATGACAAAGAAACTTTTTGCTTTATTTCATGTGCTTTATAATCTGGGTGAACTTATTTTTAAATGCAACGTTTTGTTCATTGAATTCCATCATCAATTTATTTTTTTTAAATTCGGACCTGTATATTCTT